ACTCAAGGTTACAAGGTCTAAAAAGGTTGTATGGAAAAGGTAACTTCCTAAACAGCCAATTAAAATATAAAACTACAAACACAGCACTTACCTAGATAAAAAAATAAAATCTTTCTTTTAAAACTTCTGTAACACTGATGTGCCATATTTTAATCCATGCAAAGATTCACATTTTTGCATTAAAGCTCAAATAGCTCAAAATTCCTTGGCTTTGTCATTTTCTTATACCTGAATAGTATTTTTTAAAATACAGGAGAGGACAGAAAAAGGCTTTAAATACAATTAACCTAATATTGGGGCATATATAAACAGAATGCAAACACAGAATTTCAACTGATATGTTATACTATAAATATCTGATGTCTTATAAATGATTCTGATGGAATGCAGGGATGTTATAAAAGCTACAAAATACAGAACATAAATTAGACCTACAAAAACTATCTCACCTAAACTCTCTGGGCAGAGTTTAAAAGTAAGATACTTTGGGCTGGGCACGGTGGCTCACGCCTGTAATCCCAGCACTTTGGGAGGCCAAGGCAGGTGGATCATGAAGTCAGGAGATTGAGACCATCCTGGCTAACACGGTGAAACTCCACCTCTACTAAAAATACAAAAAAATTAGCCGGGCGTGGTGGCAGGTGCCTGTAGTCCCAGCTACTTGGGAGGCTGAGGCAGGAGAATGGCGTGAACGCAGGAGGCTGGAGCTTGCAGTGAGACAAGATCGCACCACTGCACTCCAGCCTGGGCGACAGAGCGAGACTCTGTCTCAAAAAAAAAAAAAGTAAGATATTTTGGCCAGGTGCAGTAGCTCATGCCTATAATCCCATCACTTTAGGAGGCCGAAGCAGGAGGATTGCTTGAAGCCAGGGGTTTGCAACCAGCCTGGGAAACATAGCAAGATTCCATTTCTAAAAATATTTAAAAATTAGCACAGTGGCACACTACTATAGTCCTAGCTACACAGGAGCCTGAGGTGGGAGGATTGCTTGAGCCCAGCAGTTGGTGGTTTCAGTGAGCTATGATCATGCCACTGCACTCCAGCCTGGGCAACAGAGCAAGACTCCGTCTCAAAAAAAAAAAAAAAAAAAGTATTTTTCAGCTAAGTCTCTTAATATATTTTTAAATTAACTTAGTTGTATTTTTAATGTATTTAATTAATTGGTTTTACAGACATTACACTATAGTGAGCTACCTCACTTCATTATTATCAAGTCTTTGTAAACAAATATAAATCTTTGCATGGCTGGCATTTTGAATTCTGATTCTGGGCAATGGCAAAACCAGTCATGCAACTATAAAAGCTACCCATAATAATCCAATAATTTTGTTGGAATATTTCACTTCTCTTCTTGCCTATGTCACAGTGCAAAAAGCAGACAAATAGATCTAACACCATTTTTTTTTTTTTTGGCCAGGCAGTGAATAAGCAAATTTGTCAACATATCTTTTAAATGTAAACCAAATTTATAGTAACTTATTAATTGAGGAGCACCAATAAGATTATGCTTATCAAGAATTAATAGAGCTCTTTAAAATAAGCTTATTCAGCAGAAAGGCTCTTCGGTGAGAAGGAACAGTCTGACTTCTTATGGTAGAATGAAAGAAAGGTTGCCAGATCATCATTAACAATCAGAGAAATGCAAATTAAAACAAGATAACACTTTTGCCCATCAGATTGGCAAGAGTTAAAAAGACTGATAATATCTAGTGTTGGCAAGACTATAGGGAGATACGTATTCTCCTACAATGTTAATGGGAATAAATTAGCACAGCCTTTGCAAAGATAATTTGGCAGTATCTATGAAACTTTCAGATGTATGTACCCATTGATTTCATCAATTCTACTTCCAGACCTCTATCCTAGAGAAATAACAACTTTGGAAAGAGGAAATTACTAATAAACTATGATCATTCACATTACAGAATACCATGCAGTGCTTAACAGGAACATACTAGAGTTATAGATGCCGCTGTGGAAAGAGCTCTAAAACAGAAGAGGTAGGGGAATCACGCTGCAGAGTAATTATTTATTTATTGTCATTTTTTTGAGACAAGGTCTTACTCTGTCGCCCAGGCTGGAGTGCAATGGCACGATCTCGGCTCACTGCAACCTCACCTTCCTGGGTTCAAGTGATTCTCCCACCTCAGCCTCCAAGTAGTTGGGACCACAGACTTGCGCCCACCATGCCCAGCTACTTTTTGGTAGAGACAGGGTTTCACCATGTTGCTCAGGCTGGTTTCTTGACCTCAAGTGATCTACCCACCTTGGCCTCCCAAAGTGCTGGGACTGCAGGTGTGAGCCACTGCAGCCAGCCCAGCCTTGCAGGGTAATTACTGCAGTAGACATCTGTCAATCGTGGTGCTCCACATTTTCTGAAGCCACTATGCATTCCACCTTCCCAAAGTAGGCTAAAACAACAAAAATAACAACAACAACAACAACAACAACCTATACTGTGTTTCCCAGCCTTCCTCATAGCTAGGTATTTCACCAAAATATGTAGCAAGTAACTATGTGGCCAAAAGTCTATCAATCAGAAAAATCCAAGTGATGGATTTGGAAGCAGACACGTAAGGAAACAGTCTGAAAAAGGGTATCTCTTTGATTAGCTTGGGTGGTAGAAGAGGCTGAATGTTGTGAGGTAAAACCACAAAGGCTTCCTGATGAGAGAAAAAACAATGTGGTTTGAGGGTTCATTAGCTGCACCACTCATCTACAAAACCAGTCCTACAAGGTCATTCTGCGTTTTATTCCTGAAACAGTTTAGAAACTGCCTGTCCAGGCTAAAATGATACTCTGAATATCTTTATCTCTTTATAAACCCCTTTCTGGGTAAAACTAGCTAGAGCAGATTTCATTGTAAGAATTAAGAAACTTTTCATGTATATAAATGATAACCATTTATGAAGTATATGTGTCCATAAACTGATGAACAAAAAAGAACGAAAATGCATTACATGTTCAGAAAAGGATCTGAAGGCCCGTAAAATCACTGATAATATTTAACCCTGAAGAGGGAAGTGTGACTGCTACATATAGGTAAGGAAAGAATAAAAGAAGGTGTTTACTTTTCCTTATGTGTATTTCTTTTTGGTTGAAATATTTTTATGAGAAATAGTCATAAAATGCTATGAATTTTTTAAAATAATTTAAAAGCTGAACATCCCTCCCAGAGGTGCCTACCATCCTAATTAAGAATAACAGGTCTCCCCGTCTCTACTAAAAAATACAAAAAAATTAGCCGGGCGTGGTGGCGGGCGCCTGTAGTCCCAGCTACTCGGGAGGCTGAGGCAGGAGAATGGTGTGAACCCGAGAGGTGGAGCTTGCAGTGAGCTGAGATCCGGCCACTGCACTCCAGCCTGGGTGACAGAGCGAGACTCCGTCTCAAAAAAAAATAAAAAAATAAAAAATAATAGGTTTATGGTATCTTACTAAGAAATTCTGGCTAGGCACGGTAGCTCATGCCTGAAATCCCAGTACTTTGGGAGGCTGAAGTGGGCAGACAGCTTCAAGAGTTCAAGACCAGCCTGGGCAACATGGCAAAACCCCATCTCTACAAAAAAAAACAAAAACCTGCCGGGCATGGTGCTGCACACTTAGTCTCAGCCACTTGGGAGGTTGAGGTGGGAGGATCATTTGAGCTCAGAAGGTGAACACTGCAGTGAGCCAAGATTGTGCTACTGCACTCCAGCATGGACAACAGTGTGAAAATCTACCTTAAAAAAAAAAAAAAAAGAGGAATTTTAAGAAAATCAGAATAAACTGAAAGCATTCTATGGTACATATCTATACAACTTCATGTATTTATATAACAAAAAACTAATATCTTGAAATGAGAAAGGACTTTCTAACCACCAGAGGTAGAGGAAAAAGACAATAATTTTTAACTAAACAAAACTTTTGAAACCTTAAAAAAAATTAAAAGATAAAGGAAAAATTGAGGAAGGGATAATCTGAAGCATATATGGCAAACAATAAATTGATGCTTCCAATATATAAAGAACTCTTACAAAGCACAAGGACACTTTAATTTCAAATTGGGCAAAGAGCATTAATAGTCCATTCTCTCTCTCTCTCTCTCTCAGATTCGGCAAAGCATTAATAGTCCATTTTCTCTCTCTCTCTCTCTCTCTCTCTCTCACACACACACACACACACACACACACGCAGCAAAAAATATGTTTACGTTTACTAGATTTTTTAAAATCAAATTAGCAAAAGTTCGATAATATCTAGTATTTAAGAGGGTATGGGGAAAAGGACAGTCTCAGACGTTACTGATGGAATTCTAAATTGTTCTAAACTTTTTGAAGGAAGAACTGAAAATACAGAACAAAATTTTAAATATTCATGTCATAAAGCAATTCTACATTTGGAAATGTATCCTATGGAGATAAATGGATGAATACACAAAGAAAAACATTCATTGTAGCACTGTAATAGTAAAAACTAGACAACCTAAATATCCACTATGAAAAACTAAAGCAATGTTCAAAATCCATACTATTTCATGATATTGCAAAACTATGCAGCCGTTACAATTAATAATGTAAATCCTTACATATCAGCATGAAAAACATGATCATAACATACAGTTAAAAGAAAAAGGTAGGTAACCAAATAGCATGTTTCTATTAGTGTTAAATATAGATTCACTGTATATGAAAGCATTTACACATATATGTAAATGTGTGTGTGTATATATATATGTACACACACACACACATCTACAAACACACGCATAGCATGTATCCTAAAAAAACAGGTCTGAAATGTAATATACCAAAATGTCAACCACAGCTAGTTCAGAATAATACAATCCTAGGTGATTTTCACTTTCTTTCTGATACCTTTTGAATAATCTGACCCTTTACAAATGACTATGTATAGGTTTTATAATAATAGTAAGAAATTATTTCATTGTTTAAATAATAAACAATAAAAATCACCTTATTAAATACCTTGTGTCTTTACAATGTATTACCAACTGTCTTACCTTTAAACCTTCAGCTGGAAGTCTATAACCAAATCTTGCAGGGAGGTCATCAAATGTCTGAGATGCATTTTCAAAGTTATACTAAAAATAAAATTTTAAATATTCAAGTTAAGACTAATTTATACATAACATTAAAAACAAAGATTTATTAAATTATATATAATTATTATTTTGACAATTCTGATTACTATCACAGCTTATCAAAATAAAACTGAATTTGTAAATGTACATCCACTAAAATAGAAGGAATATATACAATTTACAACATATACAAATGCTTAAATTGGATTCTGATTTCAAATGTTATTATTGAGCAGCAACACTAATTCAGCCTACTGTTTTCTGAGTTGTTCCCATAGACAATTTCCTAGCAAGGAATTTTCCAGATAGATCATCTTCCAGGAGGAGTATTCCATTTTATTTTCTCTATATTATAAAGGTCTGATTTACTGGAAGAAATTTACGGCATTTCTGGCTCTAGCTATGAAAAATGACTTTCTTTTTGGAAAGAAGCAGCATCATATCATATTTTTAAGGCATGTCAATTTTGTATAAGCTGAACATTTTTATCCAGGGTTGAACACTGAAGAGACCAAATTCAATGAAATGCATATATGGAAAAAGCTGGAGGTATTCAAACTCTTCAACAACTTTCCCCCTTCCACACAGATATAGATTCCAATGCTACAATATTTATTAGTCCTTTACTGAAAAAAAACAAAAGTTCTTTGTGCTTTTAGAAGAGAACAGTAATGAAAATAGTTGAGATGAGTTTGCTTCATCATTTAATAATGTTCAATTTGCTATACAGAGAGCAAGAGAAACAAGGGATATGGATGAAACTCAGCATAGATAGTAAACAAGTAACTTTTGAAACATAAGTGAAAATTACGTACTAAAAATTAAGGTAGGTGTTCATAACCTGTAGGACATAAATACAAAAAAAAAAACACATTTGTTTTGCATATAGATACAAAGGATGGTTTAAAGATAGATAAAAAGGAAGAAAGCAGGAGTGTTATATATAGATAAGAAAAGATGGAAGGATCAAGTAAACTTTAAGTATTCACAAAGTATGGATTAGGTCACACATCCAGACTGATAGCTACGTTATCCCTGAATCAAACACCCATTGGTTAACGCTATCCTAGCCTCTTATGTCGTCTGCCAGAGGCATGCAGATAAGCAACTCCACAGTTTAACAGCCAATTATAGCTGTGACCAGTTGCCTTGCATCTCTCCGGCAGAGCAAGCAAATGTTGGATCTAGACACCTTCCATCTGTCAAGTCCCCTTGGCTCACCATCAACTCAGGTCCTGGTAACCGTACCACACTGTCAGCAGGAAAAGTTGATGCAGCATACAGGAAGACTGGACAAACTACAACAGGTGACCCAGGATTCAGGTAGTGTGGTTTTTGCATCCCACTGGAACCCTATCTTGAGTGTCTTAGCATGTCCATCTTGTACCTTTGCCTCTCACTGTATGCTTGTAATTAGCTCAGGAAACTGTGTGATTCAAGCATCTAAATGCAGTCACTAAACCTATTCATTCTGTTATTGCTGGGATAATCATTCTAGTAGTGTACTTGGAGGCCACCAAGCATACGTGGTAATTGCTTCAGCGTGATTTCCCATTGCAACAATAATTCATATTTGCAGAGTACTCCATAGTTTACAAAATACTTTAGAGTTACAAAATGCTTTTAAACCCATTATCACAATCTATCATTTAATCTCTTAATTAAAATATGTTTAATTGATTTAATTCACCTATGATCAGGTTAATGTTGAACCTGAAAAAAACATTTAATTCCTCCTAGCCAAGTATGCCATTGTAAAATAAAGTAACTTATCTAGATCAATGGAAATAGACCAAGGACAAATACAAATGTGTGTAAGCAGTATTTTTTAATGTACTTTTGAAATTAGGAAATCGAGAATCTACAAACTATATACTAAAGTATTTTTTTATCTCTTCCTATTACTTAAGAGTTTCACTATTACGGCTAAAATTATAGAAATAAAATACCTAGCTTGAACTACAGTACTTGTAACACTGAGATGTGGATTAAGTTTTGTTACTGAGTGAAACCCTTTTTGAAACTGCTTTGTCTTTCCTTAACAGCAAAATAAGGATTGTCTCATATGGCCTCTTAAAATCATATTGTTTAAAACAAAAAATGTTCCTACAGTGAACAAGACTAACAAAGGTACTTTCCGTTTTTGGTATAAGGAGGGAGGGGAGTAATGCTCATAAAATTAAAGCACGTTCACTGTTTAAAAATCTGAAGTAGTAGGCTGGGTGCGGTGGCTCATGCCTGTAATCCTAGCACTTTGGGAGGCTGAGGTGGGCAGATCAACCGAGGTCAGGAGTTCAAGACCAGCCAGGCCAACATGTTGAAACCCCATCTCTACTAAAACTACAAAAATTAGCCAGGCCCGATGGCAAATGCCTGTAATTCCAGTTACTTGCAAGGCTGAGGCAGGAGAATCGCTTGAACCCAGGAGATAGAGGTTGCAGGGAGCCGAGATTGCACCACTGCACTCCAGCTTGGGCAACACAGCAAGACTCCATCTCAAAAAAAAAAAAAATCTGAAGTAGAAAATAGTTACTCCTCACGAGAATCCCATTCGTAGTGATTACCACGTAACAGTTTGAGTACACTTATTTTGAAAAGGTCTTTTCCTTAACCAATTATTTTTCTTGACAGCTTCCTTAACAAAAGGTTTAATTTAATTTAGAAAGTAATAAATATCTAACAATTATTAGCATTCATTATGTACCGACATCATGCTAAGCACTTTACAGGTAATAATTTATTTAATCCTAACAACAACTCTACAAAGTAGGCCACTATTACTATCATCCTCATTTTACAGACTGACAACAGCATGTTGAAAATAAGCTCTGGTAAATTAGAAGAACCAGGATTCTAACTGAGGCAGTCTGGCCCCAGATCCCAGCCCTTAACCTACTACTCTATACTGTCCTTCACAAACTCTCACTTTTACAAAAAGTTAACCATGACTTAAGAAATGCTAGTAATCTGCCCAAGGTCATGCAAATACAGAGTGGTAGATCTGGATTTCAACTCTGATTATAAATCCATTTCTGGAGCTCTGGACTACGGTGCTATATAATCCAATCCATTCACACCACCACCCATTGGGTGTTTCTTTGCTACACAGCACACTGGCCCTCATAATCACCACCCAGCAACCAATTCTCTCTGACAAATCCAGACAAAAGAATCAAAAGGCAGATTGGGCATCAAGCAACATGGGTTGTTTGACTCTCATATAAGATGGATAATACTTCTCAGTAAGATCTTGGGCACAATTCAAAACTAGCATGTCACTTGTGGACTATGAGTCTCAGAATATACAACACTGATGTAGTTATCTCTTAAGTGCAATTCTAAAATTTCATGTTTCTAGTATAAACCTACATAATTAATAGTATTACGTTTCTTTTTGAGTAAAAGAAAAATGACAAGAGATAAAAACAGTAATCTAAAAGTACTAAGGAACAGATGCCATTAAAAGAAAATGTGATGTAAAATATCTCTGAGAAAGCTTTTAATTACTTCAAACCTGTATTGAATTCCTACTGTGTAACCGACACCAGGCACCAGGAATAAAGTTTAGTAAGACACAGTCCTGCCTTCCAAGTACTCATGGCCTAGAGGTCTGTCTGACTAGTCATCTAGTCATGCTATAGCAGCATCTCCATAGCCTGTTAGAACTCAACTAGTTGGACAAACACTGTTGTCTGTGAATTCAAAGTCACATGGGAGAATTCAACTGCAAAAAAAAAAAAAAAAAAAAACCCAAAACCAAAGGCATCTGGCATTACAAATAGCATAACTAAAATGGACTTAACTTTTCAAAAGCAGCATCCCAAGCCCTGTGCAAATAGAACTAGAATCAACCTAGTTGATTGGAACTAGATGTCTAATTTATGTATATCTGTATTACTGCAAACTCAGATTTCAGGGATGCTCTTATTGCATTAAAAGGAAGCGTTCTTTCTACCTCTTAACTCACTTCCTTTGAATGACTGTCACATACCCAGTTCCTCTGCCTCAATTTTTAGTTCCCTGTTTTACCAGTTACATGTCTTCACAAGCCGCTCCCCTCCAGCCATCTTTGCATTCGTGTCAGCCTTCTATCCTTATGGTCAGCATAGAGACCAGATTTAAACAGCTCCCATCTTACAGGTCCTTCACTAGAGGACATCAACATACATTCCACAAGTACCTGTGTAAAGCACAGGGAACCCTGCTAGCAAAAAGGACTGACTATTCTTCTATACCTAACATTTTTTTTGTTTCTCTACATTAAAAAAATACAGCTCAGGTAGTTTCATATCTTCTCAAGGGGCTGAGTGAAATATAATCAGAATGATAATTATAATGAAGATTTAAACCATATATAAAACATTTACTATGTGTCAGATACTATTCTAAGCAGTTTATCTTATTTAATCACCACCACAACACTCTAGTTTACATAAAGAAATAAAGAAACTGTGGCACTTATAGCAGCTGAGTAATTTGATCAAGGTCATATAGCTGCTTAAGTTCCCAGAGCACAACACTGAAAATCATTTAATCCATCAGGCAGCTCGACCACAGAATAGCAATCCACCTTGGGTATAAATGAAAGAAAGAAGGCAAAAGGTATTAAAAACAACAGAGAGGGAAAAAGAGAGACACAAAATAGAAGAAATCAAAGGAGAGAAAGGAGACAAGGAGAACTTTATTCCCTGATCAGTCCATAAATCCTCTAAACTCATTTCAAAAGTCATGCCAAGAATATTCTAAGGATTTTAGGGATCAATTGAGAAGGGAGATTTGAATAGCAATGGACTCAGTCTTCAAAGGTTCTATTTCCACTCCACCTCAAAAAGACCAAGACTATTCCCAAAAACAAACCTAATCAACCAGTTCCCTACGGAGGACAACAGGGGATGAGAAATCTCGTATGGATTACTAGCATCCTCTGCCTTCAAAAGTTATAGTATGGAAACCAGCCTGGCTCTCTCAAGTGCTACAATGATCTCAGAATCTTCCAGAATTGCTGCAAAGTGCAGGAGCACAGCTGAGGACCACAACAAGCTTTGGTCAGCAACAATTCTTGCCCTTTTATTTCTCACCTGATACCATTAAGCAAATCAGTTGCACCCAGAAAGTAAAACCAAATCCTTAGCACAGACCTAGAGGATAGGCATGTATGTTCTTTTTCTACCTTCACAGAAAAAGAGAAATAGAAAATATATATCCTCAACTTACAATGGGGCTACATCTGGATAAACTCATCATAAACTGAAAATATATAAGTCAAAAATGTTTCAGAAGTCAAATTCTACTTATATTTTCAACTTATGATGGGGTTGTTGGAACATAATCTTATCATAAGTTGAGGTGCATACTGAATGTGCACATCACTTTCATTCCATCATAAAGTCAAAAGCTCACTAGTCAAGCCTTATCTTAAGCTGGAGACCATCTGATGACTCCGCAGTGTGGAGGAAAGTAAGACAGTAGCTAAGAGAGGCTATGGTAAGGTTTTGAGCAGCCTGCTTCTTCTCTAAAAACTTTTCCATCCACCATCAAAGATAGGACCACTGTACTTCTCTTCTGACTCATTAATGCTAATCTTGGGCTGAAGTTTTCTATCAACACCTTATAGAATTTCTTAAATATTATTATCAATAGAGATACCACTGAGATCTTACAGTCATGAAGAGATGTACTAGGTACCAAGAAATACAGGAAAATTCTATATAAGTATACAGCAGGTAGGTATGTGTGCAAAGCACCCACATGTGCACACATACCCTCATGTGCAACATTATTTATCAGGTACTGATTGTTCACAAGATCTTACATTAGATATGAAGCAAAAAAAAAAAAAAAATGAATAAGGCACTGGGCGTGGTGGCTCACACCTGTAATCCCAACACTTTGGGAGGCCAAGGCAGGCAGATCACCTTAGGTCAGGAGTTCAAGACCCAGCCTGGTCAACATGGTGAAACCCTGTCTCTTAAAAATACAAAAAAAAATAGGCATGGTGGTACATGCCTGTAATCCCAGCTACTCGGGAGGCTAAGGCAGGAGAACTGCTTGAACCTGGGAGGTGGAGGTTGCAGTGAGCCAGGATCGCACCATTGCACACCAGCCTCGGCAACAAGAATGAAACTCCGTCTCAAAAAATAAATAAATAAATGAATAAGGTACCTCAATGTCAAGTAACTGTGTATATGTGTTGGGGTATGTTTTTAAATAAAAATATCTTATAACAATGTCTTATAAATATCATTCAGGGCTTTTTTAAGCTTTTCTTTAAGGGATGTTTCTAGACATGAATAAATTTTACTGTACTTACTGCTAAAATGTCTGCTTCTACAGGCAGTAGGTTTAAGAATGCAAAGAGCTGAACGGTCAAGATGGTGTAGACTTGTGTGGCTGACAGCATGAGCATCCCTATTGAGAGCAGCATCTCGTCGTAAAATCACCTGGAAGACAAGGATGTAAGTAACTATGAGAGCTGGTGCTTTGTCCCAGGGAATAGATCATTTGATATATTAATTCCCAATGTCCAAAAATATCCCTTTTAATTATAAACATGTATTAACATTAAAAGTAAAGTCTTTATTTCAAAAGCATAAGAATTACACAGATTTGGACATTTAGGTGAATATCCATGTTTCGTCAATACCTATGTAACTCATGATGACAAAGTTCTGTGTTTTAATCACAAAAAAAAAATCCTCCCATAGTGCTCAGTTTATAGTACAGCTTGTCTTACTAACCCAATTTTCAAAGAAACTAGATTTCAACCAAAATAATGGTTAAAAACATACAAGCAGCTTTGCTTTAAAATTGAAAATTTTCTACAACTTAAAAAATTTTTAGCTTCTGGTTCAATATAAACTCACGTGTAAATTTACTTTTCATTGCTACTGTATATTGTACCAACATCAGAGAATGCCAAAAAATTAACAGCCACTTATAATAAAGGAATACTTTTTGTCCTACCTCCTAACAATCTACACTTTTTTCCCTTCTCTACATCTGAATGGCAACAGCGTAACTACCTCTCCCAACTTCATCCTGTTCACTATGAGTCCCTTTCTTTCTTTTAGCAAAAAGATACCATGAAACACTAAATGTCAACCCATAAATATAAAAATTCTCATTGGTATGCCTCAATCAATTGTATTATATACTTTTAAACAAGTGAGAACGAACATTACAAAAACAAGGGCTTTTATAACGAATTATTTCATTAAAAATCCCAAACTCATGTAATATCCATTTTGATGATGATTAGTGTAGGTAAGTGCTCTAGATGTAGAAGCTGCCATACAGACTCAAACTCTGAATCTTTGACACACTGGAAGTAAAATACCTGTGAATAATTTTTAAGGTACCATTTACAAAGACACTAATATCAGAGATGAAATAAAAATGAAAACATGCTAAAGTATAGATTTTTCCTTCATGACAAAAAGTAAATTAGTGCCTAGGGATTGGCAGGGTGTGGGGGGAAAGCTTGAGGGAGGAGAAAGGTAGGAATGAGAAATGACTGCTAATAAGTAAGGGTTTTAAGGGGGAGATGATGAAAATGTTCTAAAATTAGACTCTGGTGATGGCTGCACAACTCTATAAATATACTAAAAATCACTGCACTGTACACTTTAATTGGTTGAATTTTATAATGTGAGAATTGTATCTCAATAAAGCTTTTTTAAAACGTCTAGATTTGTTGACATTCATTTCTTAAGTAAAATACATTTCATAACATACCATGGTACAGAAAAGAGTTAACATAGCAGGCCTGAGATTGCTATCCCTAGAAAGGTCTGCTTGCAAGGTTGGCCCCTTGCTGGCATCTGGAAATTTAGATTTCAGGACAGTTCCCACCATTTCCTAGTAGGAACAGCTCAGTGTGCCTACACTTTACAAACAAATGTGATTTGTGCTAAATACCTGTTTTCCTTCTAGGGTCTAGAAATTTGGTACACGGTAGGCAGAGAGTGTCTATATGAACAATCCCTAATATAAACCCTGGGCACTGAGTCTCTAATGAGCTTCCTTGGTAAACGTTTTACATGTGTTGTCACAACTTGCTGGAGGAGTTAGACGCATCCCGTGTAACTCCCCTGGGAAAGGACCCTTAGAAGCTTACACTGATTTACTCTGGACTTTACCCCATGTGCCTTTTCTTCTCACTGATTTTGTTTTGTATCCTTCTGCTGTAATAAATCACAGCTGTAAGTACAACCATGTGCTGAGTCTTGTAAATCCTCCTAGTGAATCACTGAATGTGGACAATTTCTGGTTAGAAATCGTACCATAAAAGCACACAAATATTTACAAAATAAGGTATAGTTGCTACTAAATTTTAGTAGGAGAAGAAGTATGTACCTTATTGACCAGTGACCTCTTTGGGAAACTGAATCTGAATAAAAACTATGACTTTCCATCTAAATCTCCAGCTAACTTTGGGGGAGGGAAAGGAAGACAGAGTTTGGAGGGAAAATAAAAGACAGGAATAATAACCAAAACAACTAATACTGATCCCTTATTAAGTGCCAGGCATTGCTGTAAGCATGTTATTAAGTTAACTTACTTAATCCTAACTTCCCTATAAAGTAGGTATCATTTCACAAATGGGGAAAACTTAGGAACTGGTAAGCAACTTGCCCAAGATAAAACAATAAATAACAGCAGAGCCAGGATTCAAACCTAACAGTCAGTTTCCAAAGTCCAAATTCTAAACCCCTACTGAAAACAGCATTAATATTCATCCAAGGCATTCCAAGAGTAGAGTACAGTTTCTTGCCTACAAAGGTATTCAAGAGCTTCAAAAGCCAATGCTCATGGAGCAACAGTCACCAGTTTTCTTTTACTTTGTATATGACGGTGTATGTGTGTATATGGTGTGTATTCAATGATATGTAGTAGGTTTTGAGGGTTTTTTGCATTTATTGCCTTATTTAATAATGTTTGGGAGTTTTGCTTTATAGTCTCTATTTACAAAACTAATTCTTGCTCATTGTGGAAAATGTGGAGAAAATAAAAATTATAAATAATCCTCAAGTTAAGGAATAACTAGTGTTCATACTTTGATGGATAACTTTCCAGTCTTTTAGCGATGTATAGAGTTGTCCCCTGGTATCCACAGGGGATTGGTTCCAGGACTCCCTGAAGATACCAGAATCTGAGGATGCTCAAGTTCCTTATGTAAAATGATGTAATATTTGCATATAACCTACACATGTCCGCCCAAATACTTTAAAACATATCTTGATTGCTTATATCTAATACAATATAAATGCTATGTAAATAATGGTTATGCTGTATTGTTTCAAGAATAATGACAAGAAAAACAGTCTGTCCATGTTCAGTACAGATGCTTTTTTCCCCAAATATTTTCACTCTACAGTTGATTGAATCCATGGATGTAGAACCCATGGATACGGAGGGCGAACTGCATATTCAAATACATTTTTAGCAAAATTGGGGGCACACTGTGCATATTGTTTTACTAATTGTATTTTTTTCACTTAAGGTATTACGAATATTTTCCTAATTTTCCTCAAAAACCATTGCAGATAGCTGTCCATGAAATACTGCGGAGCTTCCCTTCTTTCAAGCACTGTTTTTTGTTAATCTATTTCACACTTTGGGTTTCCATACATTATTTGTCTACATAAAATAAAAACTACTGGTAAAAAATATGATGTATAAATGGCCACCTGGTATTCCTTATGAATATTCTTTAACGGACTGAACAGAAATTCCTACTGTTGGAATTTTTTTTTTAAGAAAAACACTGCAATAAATATTTCTTTAATTACACCTATAGGTAAACCCTTAATATTTTTTAGATTAAAGTGACAGAAGTGGCAGGCATTATAATAATTGCAGTAAAAAATATGGAATCTATACATATGAGTTTATATCCCAGCAATGTCCCATACTAATAGTGTAATTTAGAGATAAACATTTAAATTACATAAATTGCTTTATCTCTAAAAGTAGGACCATAGGACCTATAAGACAACTCTGTAGAATAAATACAATTATGCACAGAAGGGCTTAACATAGCAATGGAATATAGAAAGAAAGGACTTTGGACAGGGATGCCAACAGATGAAACAGGAAACAGAGAAGGAAGACCACAGTGAGAGAGTAAGTACAACTTGAGAATTTCTGAACTTAGTATTTGTGGAACAGGCTGGTGGACATGTACACAGGCAACAATAAATAAAGGTCTCGAGCTCCACACAAAGCAAAAACTGAAGTGCTTTTAATGTAAAAGTGAATATCAAAAACAGAAGAGGACTAAAAAAACTGAGGGATATCTAAGTTTCAAAGGGAGGTGGAAAAAGAGAAAAGAGAGAGAGACTGATTTCAGGAAAGTCAAGAAAGACAAGAACTTTAAAATGAATGTAAGGGGAAGTAAGGCATTGGTCAACAAAAGTAAATGTTGGAGAAGGTGCAAGAGGGTCTAAAATTTTCACATTTAAGAATCTGCCCAGGCCGAGCACAGTGACTCACACTTGTAACCCTAACACTTTGGGAGGCTGAGGCGGGTGGATCACCTGAGGTCAGGAGTTCCAGACCAGCCTGGCCAACATGAGAAAACCCCATCTCTACTAAAAATACAAAAATTAGCCAGGTGTGGTAGTTTTTGTAGCTGAGTAGCTGCAATCCCAGCTACTCAGGAAACTGAGGCACGAGAATCGCTTGAACCCAGGAGGCAGAGGTTGCAGAGAGCCAAGGTCATGCCACTGCACTCCAGCCTGAGCAACAGAGCAAGACTCTGTCTCAAAAAAAAATTTAAAAACCATCTGCTCAACCTAAACAATTTTACTTCCTCATACTCTACCACTCAACCTTGCTCTGATTAGCTCACTGTTTCCAGCAATCACCTTGCTGGGATTATATCTTCATTCACATGTTACCCAGGAACCATAATACACTACCTTCTATCTTCAAAAGAGAATTTGGGGGAAAACTACAAATCCCATGAAATTGTATGCAAAATTTTGTGTATGTTCAACTACAGATAGTTTCTGCGAAAAAGAACCACGCTTATTAACACGTTCTCAAATAAGCACGTAGGCTTTCTGTTGTTGCTGCTAGGTTTTGTTTTGTTCTGTTTTGTTTTCATTTAAATCTTCCCTTTTCCAGGAAGCCTTCTGAGGAGAAAGGTTAGCAAGCTTAAATTCTTTGACACCTTCTTCTAGCACTTAGTCAACTAGATTAAAATAAATGCAGGTTGTCTGTTGTATTACTAGGTAATATTATTTATGGTAAAAATGACTCCTGAATGATGAAAAGTATTTAAACTGTAAAGACTGTAAGTTAACTACAAAAGCTTATTACAAAAACATAAACAAAAAAAGTCTCAGATTCCCTGCAGTGTGTGTTTCTTGAAAGAAAGCATGATGCTTGAGGGAAGCTGGAGCTACTCATGGAATATTAGAAGAAGTGGTTCCTT